CTGGCAACAGGACTTTTCACTATGCCGCACAAGCAAGAGAGCCCAGTCAATATCAATCGTTACCTTCTGTTTTCTTACTTCTTGTCCTTTTATTCTCTGCGTCTTAGTGGCTTTATTGCCTTGCTAGTGGTAAAATGATTAAAAAATATTAGGAACGATCAAACAAAAGTTGTTTTTTTTCGACTTTTAAGCGGATATGAGGTTAATCTAATCGATAACGGAGCAGAAAGTGGAATTGAGGAGACTATTATAACTTCTGGCCAAGTTGGTCGCCTTTAATTTCGAACTCGTCTTCTCCCCCAAACTATGGGTTAAATAGCAGGGCTAACAAGGATGTTCATATTTGTGTGACAACCATTCTAGAAGAAGAGCAATTGAAAACCAGCCCAAGAATTCGAAACCAACCTGAACCTGTTTTACCTTGGACACACCCACCGTAGCTAGGGATGCAGTACATGTGGTCACCCCTCGCAACCTGATGAGTTCCTGGATCCTTGCGAGGTTTCAGGCACCCACTTTCCGTCATCTTCACTGTAAAACGGACGTTTTAATCTTTGATTTTGTATATTTATGTTATTTCTGACAAACCATTTTCAGTAAGTCTACTTACCAAACTTCCGCCATTGACAATTGTAGTCAGCGTTTAAGTTTTAAATATTCTATTCTATGCACAAACTTAATATTTCCAAAGACGGCGAACACAAATTTGAATTAGTAACCAAATTTGAATTATAGTAGTTATCCCACAGCAAGTGCGTTGGTTGCCCATCGTAATGAGATTGACCACAACGTTGACATAAAAAAACACAGTATCTGATGCAAAGTAGAGCATAATATTATAATTATTTTTTTTTAAAAAGCCTCCATTGCGACACAGAAATTACTGTTTTGAAACCAAAACTGACATCTTAAAATTTAACTTTAAAATTTAAACTTAAATTCGGAGCTCAGTTCCATTCTCAAATGGCGCTAAGAATAACTTACGAAAAAATAGGATTTACTCTATTTTTAAGTTCACTTGGTAGTGTTAAGAGAATTTCCATTTTATTTATTAAGGGGGTGTTGGCTTTTTTACGAATCAAAAAAGAAGTATATCTTAAGTGAATTTTGATCCTAGGAACTAACAAAGAAATACCAGCACATTACAGTTGGTGAAAGCTTCGAGCAGAACTAACCACACTTTTTGAAGAGCCGAATACGGAGACCTGATGCACCGTGCGCCGAAACGACCCTCCGCTGGTTTTGAATTCCGAGTTGGCCTTCTCCTAGACCAGTTGCCATACAAGGCTATGGAACCAAGTCTGTCCTGCTATTTACCCATAGCCGTGGGGAGAAGAAGAGGATTCATATTTTTCCCAAGGGTATTAGCATGTAAGTGATTGTAATGGATTCGACTGGAATTCGAACTCGGCACTCCGATTCCACAATCTGAGCTGCTATCCATTACTCCAATATATATATATTTCTTGAAGAAAAATGCTACTCTGATGAAATCAGAAAAGAATTCACTACAACGAAAATATCTTTTGAGTGCCTTAATCGCAAGATCATCTTCAGTAAATTTGTGCTTCTTACAACATTTCACCATTCCTGCCAGAATTTCTATTATCACAGTGTAGGATATCTAATAACAAAAGTGATGGAAACAAAAAGAAAATTAATCTAAATGAAATCGACTAGATTAAAAAAAAAATCTAAATTTCTCAGCATATAAGAAAAATAAAAATGTAGATTCTATTTGAAATCTACTATGATAATATCTGAAACAATGAAAGTGTCAAATTAAAACTAATTTCATTCTTTAGAATTTGCTTTGTTTACGTTTCGAGAAAACTTACAATGAGAAGGGTGTGAGAAGGGTGTGCTTTCCTTAAAAAGAGAAAATAGAACAATCTAGTGCGATGCTTTTTGGAGACAAAAAAAAATCATCGGCTCGAATGATGGTTTCTCCTTCAAATGTTTAATCTGTCCAAAGAATTTACAGGTGCTGGTTCGATTCAGTTTGTACCGGAAAGCACATCTTCCTCATTGAGATTTTTGGAACCTGCTTGCCGATAGACGAAATACACAATGTTTAAAGTAAATATAAAAATAGGTCGTTTATATTGCATACGAGTATCCACTACAACGACGTTTTTCTCTCTCTTCAACTATAACAATTTACAATCTCACCCCCCCTAACGTCACACAATAATACCAATGGACCTGCCGAACTCTTTTACACCGATCAAAATTTAAAAGTTTATTTTAATGAAAAGTTTCGCACATCGAGGAATCAGACAGAGATCTGGTTTTTGCTAATGACACGATTACCACTAGAAAATACGAAATCTACAAAAGCATCTGTCAGTGAGTAATACTCATTTGTCTGTTCCTCGAACCGTTGATGAAGGACACATGAGTTTTCGAAAATTCCGAACTCTCAGTGCTTCATTTCTGTCATATGCTTAAGAATTAGTATTTAATAAATGTTTATCGTACTAATAATATTGGAACCCTTTCGTTTGTTCTTTTTATTAAACATCCTATCTATTTCCCACACACATAACGCATATATATATATATATATATATATATATATATATATATATATATATACAACAGATCCTAGCAAAAAAATTCAATTAATCATATACTACAGAAAAATTAGTATATCCAACTCAATTATTCGCAATGATTCCCCACCACCCTTAGCGATTTGCAAAAAACCAACATAATTTACAAGTTCAAGTGCCCTTTGGGAGATTGTAATGGATTAAATAATATTTATGTTGGTCACACCACAAACTTGCTTTCACGGCGCTTGACGCTACATTTGAATGATAACTCTTTAAAACAACATGCCTGGCCGCATACACAATTCCGTAAAAATTGAAAACACAACTATACTTAAACATGAAAACAATAAACAAAAGCTAAAAATTCTTGAAGCTGTATACCTAAAACAGTTGAAACCCAACCTAAAAAAAATCAACTATGGAATCTCTTCAAATATCCTTAAATGTCTATAATTGATAATAGAAGCCATTGGTTTACACCAACGGCTTCTCATACTTAATACTTCCCGTTTTTACTCTCGCGTGGTCATGGGTGACGTCACGAGCTGCGACGCGATTTTCGATTCCACGTCTCGTATACACGAGATTGTCGTTGCTTTGAAATTTTTCATGCTTCAAAAACAGACTATCATTATTGTTTTGTCCGTGTATTGTTTAATATATTGAAATGTAATTGTCATCTTTGATAATGGCTTATGTAAGCCGAAAACTTAGATAGGATTAAAAAAACATGTATCACTGTGGTGTTTTTCTTTCATCTTTCAATGATAATGTTATTAAGCTTATCAGACAATATGAAAGGAATTCACTTTCAATAAATAGACAAAACTTGTCTATATTATTTAATGAAACATGCATCAATATATATATATATATATATATATATATATATATATATATATATATATATATATATATATAATATATATATATATAATCAGGTTCTGTCATAGCATATTTCTGATTGCTATGAATTTCCTGTCCTTCCTAAGAGATAGAAATATTTTAATCAATGTGTTTTGACACTGTTGAAACACTAGAAATATTATTTTTAACTGAACACACACAGAGTATGTTTCTGAATCATCATTATGTCAAAATTTTAATCGTAAACTATTTTAAAACCAGACATAAGATGTTTAAAAATCGACAATAAAACTAATTTTAAAACCAACTGAAGATTTCTAAATATGTTTAACATAAAAATGTATTTTACCTACATTTTCACTTATATAAGTAAAAATGTAGGTAAAATACATTTTGTGTTTGATTGCTTCAGTAAAGAAAATCCGTTATCTATTAAATAAATGTTTTTCAAAGATTTCGCTAAAAACAAAGAGCTCAGAACGGCTATATGATATCAATCCTCTTGTATGGAAGTGAATACTGGACAAAATCCCTTTACAGAAGAAGATGAAATAAAGATGTTGAAAATAACATGGACGGAGTGCATGAGCAACGAAGTCTTAAGTAAAATAGAAACAAAACAACCACCTATACTCTGGATCAGAAAAAGACTTGGACATATAATGAGGAAAAACGGCTTGGAGAATTGGATACTCACATGGCATATCGAAAGCAAGAGAAACACAGGAAGACATTCGGCTACTTACCTGACAACCTTGTGTGGACAGTTGGCGAAACCGGGTAGGAGGCTTGTCAAATAAAATAAAAAAACGTTGCTAATGGTTAAAAGAGATAGGAGGTTGTGGAGATCCGCCATCCCACACGTCCTGAAGGGACACGTCTCATAGAAGAGGAAAATGTATATAAAATGTATTATAATGCAACTAAAATCTTACGTTCATTAATATATTCTCTTCTATCTGTGTGTCTGTGTGTGTTCATAAATGTACATGTAATGAAGTTGTCTATAAAATATTTGGGGAAATTAATTAGATTTTGTTTTTGCAATGTTTCTGTTGAACGAATGTATCTTGTTAATAAATTTGCAGATTAATAAAGTTTGAGATTTTTTGCAGAAGACATTCTGTAGTCGTTCAAATGTTCATAATATTTGTTATCAGCGCACGCAAATCTTTCATATATGGCCGCTTTGTTGAGTAAACTAATTCTTGAACATGTCTCCTCACACATTTTGTGTAGCATTAATTATTCGCAACTATCCAAGGGATTTACAGATGCCGTACATATTCTATGAAAGACTTGGAATATTCAAAGATAGTAATATGCAATGCAACGATTCCTAAGACAATATTTTTTATCGATACACTTCAGAAATATTTCATTGCCAGCAAAGTCCACAGGAAACATTTACTAGTTCCTATGGTTAAGCCAAAACCCGGTATAGTTTCATCAATTTTATCAACGCAGTGCTTCGGCCAATGCCTTTTGTCTTCTTCAGAAGTATGCTGCCTGATCTTTACATTGTGTTTAAATACATTTCTCTTCCACTTAAAGCAACCCATAAATCCAATCAGCTTACGACCGTATCATGTTGAAACACCAGTTCTCGTTCGATCACCGAAGTTAAGCAACGTCGAGTCTGGTCAGTACCTAAATGGCTGACGGGTTGGTAATACCAGTTACTGTAAGCTTAGATGTGGAATAGAAAACTGTTCGGAATGGGAAATCGAAGAGCCGAGTTCGAATTCCAGTCGGGTTCGTTACATTCAATTACGTGGAAATATTCTTAGGAAAGGAATGAATCCACCTCTTTTTCCCCAGCTATCGGTTAAATAGTAAGACTTGTATCTGAAAATCATTATCTCCTCAAAAATTGTTAATACAAAAGAAAACATTCTTACAATCCAAAATATGTTTTGGCGCTAAATAACATAAAAAAGGTTGATAAGCTGTAAAAAATCAATGAACAACAATCATGAATCCAATTCTTTCATGGATCATTTTTAAGGATTTGAATATCGAAAATAGAAATAACTTTATTCTGAAAATCTCGAAGAAGAATTTTCATATTGTGCAATTCGAATATTAATAATAACACCTTTTCAAATTTACTCTTCGATTAGTACAAGATTCGCTTCCGACCAATATTTTTACTATTAAAAAGTAGATCAACTAATGTCAAGATTCGATGAGTCATTTTAATGAGTTAGTATTTTTTTTAAACCGTTCATAACGATATGTGGGACATTTCAGTCAGTATACTATGGTAACGAGATCAGCGAGAGATCCTGAAATCCGTGTAAAATAATTGAAAGAATCAGACGAACGCTAACCGCTTCTGTCCACACCCCCTAACTATATAAATAGTCTTCTTGTTTACTCTCTCATACTCAATGTCTGACTCGCTTGTCTTCATCACCAACTATTATTCTTAAGTTCTTTTATCTATCACATCGATTTTTAGAATCTGCCTCTAGTGATTAGGCTGACTGTTGATCGCCAAAGTTACGCGCAACCAAAACTATCTATGGACCTACCTTTAAAGATTTAATCATAATGATGTGTAGCTGAGCTGAGGGGTTAGAACGACAGAATTTCAACATGAGATTCGAGTTTGAATCTCACCATGTGACTTCTTTTATCGACCTGGGAAGGGCCTGGAAACCATATTACGGTTTGACCCCCCAGGCCTTATAAAATGAATTGAGTAGACAGGACTGTTCGTAAACCGTCTATGCAGGTGTTTTAAGTGGTTAAGTCATTTTGACCGGGGCTTTTTTGAAACTGATGATACCCACCAGATGACACGTTCTTTCCCAGAAACTGTAATTAAAGTTCGCTCGGCATAGTTGCAATATAAACCACAGAAATATCTCAGTAAATGTTTAACAAACACAAATGTGCATGAGCAGGCGTCTTCAACAGGGATTAGCTCACCACCCCAGCATGCGGCATCTAGCTGCTAACCATATCATTGAAATTTTTAAATGTTAAGTCCTTTCAGGACGTAGGCGATTGTAGGTCTCCACAGATTCCATTTTTTTTTATTGTCTATGAAATACTGTGTATAGTTGGGAAATATGGTCAGAGTCGTTTCCCGTTGTCTTCGGTTTGAAACTAAGAATTCTCCTCCTCTTATACTGGTTACCACACATTCTACACGGATATTTAATATATAGCTTAGCGGAGAAGAGACGGTTTCATGCCTTTTCCAAAACAAATTATGCAAAAGTGAACGCAGCAGACGAGCGCGCATTTTAAAATCGACTCGTCAAGTTCATCTGCTGCGCTTATATCCCTTACACTACCAGCACACATACTTTTATAAAAACAACAAAAAAAAGCATCATTCTAAATTTGGCCGACTTTTCTACAACCTTTCAAGCCAAACTGAGACCGATAATCATAAAATCAAATCGTCTATTCTATACAGACACCACGCAGCTACTCCTTATACAGACGTTATTATGAAAACAAATTGATTGACTGTACAAAAACATTCATTCATTTCACACGTATTATATCTTTTAGAGAATAGCATTCCTTTGCTGATTCAAAATATCGTCTCCGTTTACGCACCCGTCAAGTGTTATTTTCCAGCGATCTGAAACCAATAGGCCGTTTCTTTGACAAACAGGATAAGTAGCAGCAGGAGAATTCTATGAATGAAAAAATAAATAACTTAAGACCGCCTCATGATTGCCTCACTGAGCATGAAATGTTCCATCAAAGAGAGAGAGGAAGGAAACATAAAAGCAGTAAATACTTTGTGTGTTTCATGCTTGATTGATACAAAACCCGAACTGATTGCCAATATTTGCTACATGTTTTCTTCTTTTATTGTCTTTTATTTCATCCTGTCTTCAGAACATTTATCAATGTCATTAGATAGGTTTTTCTTTTTTTTTTGTCTCATCGCACATCAAAAATTTATACACCGAATAATTATAATTGTTAAATTATAGACGATACTGTGGATTCATGTTTTGCACTTCATAGGAAAAACAGCTTATTTTATCAACCCCAATAATTGTAAGTTATATTTTTCAATTAACAATAATTGCGTTTGCCAATCATTTAGAAGCAGATAAACGAAAGCAAAACGTTAGCTTTCCAAGTCTCTTTCCGCCAATGTCTTTCCAGTGAGAAAAAGACAAAACATTTCTGTTTGTACTAGAAAACAGAAGCACATGTTTTATCATTACAAGAGTCAGATTAGGCTAAAATGCAATATTGCAGCCATATTTTCACTGGCGAAGATCTTCGCTTTCCCAGCCTTGATTCGGTTCAAAACTGTTTACGCCATGGAACATGACTTATTTTCTACTCTACTGACCGTCTTCTTACAAAACGCATCTTTGTGAGCCTGTAGCTATTTCACCACTAGCTTTAGAGTCAGAACACGCCACGGGGCTTCCAGGAAGATGAATCATCCGTATTTCCCCTGATATTTTAAAAATAAGAAGGAAATTTCACGCGAACAACATTTTTTCCCAATAACTAAAACTCCCCTGGACACTTCAATCTTTCTCACCCACCGACACTCATCATTAACATTTTAAATGCAACTACTTGTATTGGGGGAAATGTAAATGTAACCCCTCGTATTGGGTGAAATTTAAATGTTACCCCTTGTATTGGGTGAAATGTAAATGTAACCCCTTCTATTGGGTGAAATTTAATTGCAACATCTCGTATTGAGTGAAATTTAAATGGAAACCCCTTGTATTGGTGAAAGTTAAATGTTACCCCTTGTATTGGGTGAAATTTAAATGTAACCCCTACTATTGGGTGAAATTTAATCGCAACGCCTCCTATTGAGTGAAATTTATATTTAACCGCTAGTATTGGATGAAGTTTAAATGTAACCCTTTACATTGGGTGAAATTTAAATGTAATCCTCCGTATTTGGTGAAATTTAAATGTAACGCGTTGTACTGGATGAAATTTAAATGTTACCCCTTGTATTGGGCGAAATTTAAATATAACCCCTCGTATTGAGTGAAATTTAAATGTAACCCCTCATATTGGGTGTAATTTAAATATAAACCTTTGTATTGGGTGAAATTTAAATGTAACCCTTTGTATTTGGTGAAATATAAATGTAATCCTTGTATTTGGTGAAATTTAAATGTAACCCCTCGTATTGGGTGAAATTTAAATGTAACCTCTTGTATTGGGTGAAATTTAAATTGAGATAAACTAGCACTCAATGCACCTATTAAGTACGGTACGATTATCTTCTTATATGTTCCGTGTCCCTTCAGGATTTTGGTGATCATGGCTCTCTACAATTTCCGGTCCTTTGTAACTCTTAATAATTTTTGTCTTTTTTGTTATATCGATAATAATTTCTACCATCGATTTACTTAGGTTCGATAGATACGTTATAGATAGTTGTATTGTTTTCCTCTGTTCCTCTTTTTCCTTCAATCTCTCCTGTGTGTGTTAAATTTTCCAAACCCTCTTTCCTCATTATGTGCTATAGAAATGTCAGCTGTCTCTTCCTGACATTAAGTATAAGTGTCGTTTTTGCTGCCATTGTCTCTAGAACGTCGTCGTTTATCACATGCTCAGTTTATATTTTTCTCAGCATCCTTCTGTAGCACCAAATTTCTACTGCTCCATGTCTCTTGTTCTTCTATGAAGAGAATACCCATCATTCAGTACCATATAAGAGAACTGATATTATATAACATTTCAGTACTCTTTTTTTTTTGTTTCTAACGATATTTTTCCCGTTTCTTAATACTTTGGTTAGCTTTTGGAAGGCATCTTTCGCTATCCCAATGCGACTTCGGATTTCAGTGTCGCACTTTCCCTCCTTTATTAATACGTTTCATAGATATCTAAATTGTTGTATCGGTTTGATTTTGGTATCTTCAATTTGTAACTTGCATGTTGGGATATTCCTTTTGCTATCAACCATGTATTCAGTCTTCTTGCAATTGATGTTTAGTTCTTTCTTCTGGCTTTCCGTCGCTAACTTCTGTAGAAGTTTTTGTAGTTTCCTTTCCTTGTCTGCTATTAACACTGTGTCATCTGCATATCTTATGTTAAGATTATGGCTACCAGTAATGAATCCTGGTATGACTTCTAAATCTCTCTGAATGGCCTAGCTATTTAGGGTGAAAAGGTCCGGTGAGAAGATACATCCTTGTCTTACATCCATGTTTATTTTATGTATTTACTGAATTCATTTTCTATCCGTATGCAGGCGGTTTTTTTTCCCAGTGTAGGATCTTGATTATTCTAATATCCTTCCCAAATATGTCATGGTTAACGAGCGCTTCAAACAGTTCTTTCTGGTGTACTTTATCAAATGCTTTTGCATAATCTATAAAACATAAGTATATATCCATCTGCATTTGTATTGCTTTTGCTGCTATCATGCTGGGGTTGTTCATCCATAGATGGTAGATTGTCTAGTCATGTTCCCTTGAGGCAAATCATTTTTGTGCAACTTCTTTGGTCATTAATTCTAACAGATTCAAGGTAGCAAAAGATTCCTTATTTATGGAACTGAGCAGAAGACCCAACTTGCATTCAGAAGGGCTCAAGGCGGGCGCTTACCGATGCTATTGGTTCCATGATAACTGGGGATAGAATAGCCCTGTTTTGCTACTTCCGGAGTGGATGAAATACTTCAGATGTGCTGGTACCTACCCTCGGAAGCATATAAAGCCAAT